AGTTGCAGAGTTTTCCCTTTTACCAGGAGATCAAGCAGTTGGGCTTAGGGTAAGCAGTGGGAAAGCCTGGAACAGGCAGCTCCCTTAGTAGCTGAGAGCTTCCCACACCCAAGGCGCTCCCCAAATCTCAGCCAGTCAGTTTTGTTGTGGTTATAGCTGAGCCGCCTCCTCTTGTGTAGCTGTCCTGCGCCCCAGCCCAAGCCCTGCAGCCATCCTCGGCATCTTTCCTTTGGTACACAAAGTGACTTGCTGACATGTGAACAACAACTTTTAAAGAACAGATACCCTCCATTTCAAAGAGCAAAGTCCCTGGGGCAGCTGGGGAAAACTGGCAAAGGACACAGACTGAATTTGGTTTTGCTTTGCACTCCATGTGGTTCTTCACACGAAGAAGCCAGTGGCATGAGATGGGCCTTGGGGACCAGAAGTTGGTGCCTTTGCATGTTAGAAACCATTTCCGTTATGAGCCTTACAAGCACTGTCTCTATTTCTGTATTTGTGATCCCCACAGTGCTATTTTTCTGTCTTTCCCAATACTTTCTCTTGTTCCTACTCAGTTTGCTGATGGGCCAAGCCTCTTAGCTGTCTCTCTTCAAAGGAGGGCATTATGTTATGCCATCACTTCTCATACTGTTCTTTCCTCCAGCAAATTTTTGTTATGGTTGGAAAAAGGTCTGGCAGCCATCACCTCTGCTTTTTGATGACCTTTGGTTGGTTATCGAGCTATTACTTATACATTTTATTGTCTTCACTTCTAAGTAAAAAGATAAATGGATAGATACATAGACGCAAGGATGAAGGAGGGGGGGAGCCATTTGTGGTGATTACTGGCCCAAGTCAAGTTGGAAGGGGTGGGAAATTGCATCGAGTTGCACCAATTTACACCTTCCAAGATACTAACTTGCTCTGACAGTGAAACATTCTCAATACCAGAACTCAATCTATTATCTCCTTGGGTTTAGTGTTAGTTAAAGGAAAATTCACAAGATACAATTAAAGCAAAAGTTACAGATCGATGTTTCAGCTTCTAAGAGTCAAAAAAAGTGAACTTGAGCATATGTAACTTCAGAGACAAACCTAATCTTCCCCTCTTGCTGAGAAGATTCACTTAGCAACAGTGAATGGGGCTTTCTTCAATTTGCTTTATCCTGTGTGTATTTAAGATAACCCTTTTTTTCCAGAATTTCATTTAGCTACTCATACTACAAACACAAGGACAGATGGTCACCAGATCAAACTTAATCAGCATTCTGTATGCTGGATTTTGTGCTTAGAAATTCATCTGGTTCTAGTAAAACATAGTCTGAAACCGGCCTGATGTTTAACTCAACCACAGAATTGTATTAAATTTCTAAGCCTCCCCATCCCCACAAGAGATTGAGAAGGGAACCATCAGGCATTTTTAAAAAGGGGTTGATTAGGAGTTTATTTATCAGAGATCAAAATCTGCTCTGTTGCTGGAGAACAGCACTTTTAATGGGGGGCTGCAGCCCAGTCTTACCCATTTGTTTCTTCTTGAAGTTCACCGCAGGGCTAAATCTAACCCTGGAGTAAGAGGATGCACTTTTGTTTACATCCCCTTACACCACGCTGAATTCAAGGTCTAGACTGTGGCGGTGCACCCCCGGTCAAGGCAATTCGAACTATTTTCCCATGGCTTCTTCTCATTCCTCTTCTTCCTCAGGCTCTTCCCTTTTCTGCCTCTCATTGCTGTTAGTTGTTAGCCTAGCAAGGCTGAACTCCGCATGAGTGTCCCATCCCAAGGAGTTGATGTTACATAGATAGGACAAGCAACCGGCTCCCCCAGGACCGAGGCCCGCAGAGGAGGGCTTTCAGGGCCACGAGTACACAGGTAGCCAGGTGCATTAAAAGCCATTTCAAAACCTCCTTTGCCTGAAAGGAAGACAAGGTTTCACCCTGTGTCCTCAAATCCTCTGTCCTTCAAGCTTGTGTGGTGATCTTTTTGCCCTCTTCAAAAACACACTGCTATTTTATTCCTTATGCCACAGTCTGTTAGAGATGCGTATACCGCTGCATCGAACTTTGCTGCCTTTATTTGCATAACTGTGGCATGGGGCTGACTGGCTGGAAACCAAAAACCACTCCAAATGGCACAGAGGCGACAGCCATCTGTGTCTTTTTCACATTTGGTTTCATTGTTTTAGGATTAAATCCAACCACTGCAACCTACAGTAACTCTAGACTTCTCGAGGCTCGGAGCTTTCCATATAGCACGGTCTGTGGTTTCACTGTGGAGAAGCAAACCTGGAAAAAAACTTGTTGGACTGGATCAGAAGTATTTTAGTTAGTGCAGCAGGAGCTGCCAGTGGTGAAAATAGCACTCCTGGAGCATGAATGAACGGAGTGGTGTTTCATTCTGCACACATTAGATAATTTAAGCCTAACTTGGCATTATGGTTGCGCTGGGCAGTTTGCTCTTGAGATGTATTTCCATTGCCACGTAATAAATATAAATGGTCTTTATAAGATACCCGTGGATGGAAGGCATCTAGTGGTTGCTAAAGGTTATTCTGATGATGTATATTGAAAGCCCTCCTGTTTGGCATTAATTAGCACAATGTACTATTTTGCAATTTCCCAGCACAGACACATCCAGATTCCTGCTAGGAATTGGAAGTGGTATCACCCGCCACCCACTCTCCACCCAAACCAGACAGCACTGAGGCAATCCCTCCCTCACATGAAACTTATGTATCTCCCACAACCCCAAGGCAGGGGGCATGCAGGGGTGTGGAGGATGCAGGATTTTTTTGCATTACAAGAGCAAGCCATTTCTAACAGGCCTGAGGCTGGGATCTTCATGAAGGTCTCTCCCATGGGTCCCAAAAGTCCAGTGTCATTAGCTGGGGGCAATCAGAAGCTCCTGATTTGGCATGTGGGCTGGTGTATTTCTGATGTCCAGGTTGAGGATTGCTGCCTGCAAGAAGCTGATGCCCACAAGAGCTCAAACCCCTCAGGGACTGATGGGAACTTGTGACCCACACACTGATTTGAACTCTTCATGTCACAGCACTGGGAGGAACTGGTGTAAACCATTCCCTTATGTGTTTCCCATTTCTCTGGGCTTGGTTGCTCCAAGCCTACTACTGCTGCTTCCTAATGCAATACTAAGGAAAATGCATAGGAGGTTACCATGGGGGATGGATTCTGCCCTTGCTAAAGGCCAAGAGAGAAGGGGATACTTGCCCTTTTTCTGCCTATTTTAGCCCCATTAGGTGTCTGAAAAGCATTTGCTATCAGCCCCAAGCTGCAGAGGTAATTAAATGCTGTACCAACCGAACTGTCAAAAGATGAAAACTTATGTGTTTTAATGATATTGCATGGAACATAACATAGCTAAGCAGATCCTGTAATTAGGGAAGTACCAACTGATGCTCATATCCTCCTTCTGCTTAGGCATCTCACCATGGGTAGGTTGCCCTGCTGTTCGTGGCTTCTGAGTTCCTTGCACTGGGCTGAGAGTGCTTTTTCCACTGAGTTTGGTGCACTGCTATTTTATGTCCCCAATGCAAAGGCTCTTTTTTGCTTCTTCGTTATTAGTGGTTATATCTTGCCTCCTGTAAGGACCGTTGGCCTCTGACCTCTAATGCTGGAGCTGTTTCTTCTGCGTTAGTCTCTTACACAGTAGCCATCCCCTCGAGCAGGATATATGCTGTGAAGTAGGTCCTTTCCTATGACTAATGAACAGTTGGGAGAGCATGAAGCACTGACGAGGCATGGTTACAGCCCTGCAGCCAGCCCTTCTGAGTGCCCATTGCACCCACCATCGAAGACAGCCACCGTGGGAGCCTGCCTCTAGCATCACCATCCCCACAGCATCGAAGCTCCGCTGCGACTCAGCCTTTCCCAGCACCATGGGTTTTGCATGCTCTCCCCAGTGCTGTAACAGGCAAGCACCAGTTAATTTTCTTTTTTATGCCTCCAGCCTCCCTCCAGATAAATTTATTTTTTTAAATCAGAAATACATTTGTTGCAAGTCAGGTGCCAACAGGTCCCTGTGCCAAGAAGATGCAGTGCTCCTTCTGCTTGCTTTGTTTTCCTGTGAACTTTATCAGTTTTTGCTTGTTTCTCTGTGACCTTTGGAGACCATTCAAAGTCATCTGCCTTTTGCTTTGATTTAATTTCAGTCCAGTGCATGTTGCCAGCTTATTTGTTGCCTATTTTTACACATCGCCAGCAAATCACCACCTCTTCATATTGTTTAGACAGTCATCAAATCTAGGCCTGCCAGCTCTTTTTGTTAATGGGCTAAGAGGGATTGTTACATCGAGCTGCTGTGACCAGAAAGGGACCAGAAAGCTGCTTAATTCCAGCTAACAAATCTTTAAAGCCTAATGTGGGACTTTTACAGCCGGAGCAGGGTCTGGCCTATGTTATGGACCCAAGGTCCGCCTGTATGTCTGCTGTACCTCATCTTTCCACTCATTAGCAGGGCACTTCAGCTACCACAAGCATTGGCTCCACTGTGCTGGAAATGTATCCCTCAAGTTGTTGCACCAGAGATTTGGCTTGTGCCGGTTCTGGGATGGAGACAGTTTTTATTGTAGAGCTGGTTTGGACCTTCTGTGTCCTCTCCTACAGCTGGTCTCAGTTACAGGCAGCCTGGGATCAACAGGAGGTGAAGGACCTTGGTGGCTTGTAGTTCCGGTTATTCCTGCAATGTTAGCAAGAGCTGGGGTGGACATGGGAGCCCCAGGTGAGGTGCAGAGTCCACAGGCCATGTTCAGGCTCAGCTCCAGAACCACGCAGCCCATAAAGTGCTGCTTCCATGCCTGGAACTTTTTTCATGTATTCCTTGGGAGAGCTGTATGGAGGCCCATTTGTGGGGAACAGGCGGAGTACTTTCTCCACCACTTCTGTATGTTTTTCTGCACACTTGTCTGTGTTGCCTTTACAGCTGCAGGTATCGCGCTCATTGCTCATTTAAGACCAAGATTCCCTTTGTGGCCCAGGAGTAAAATCGATACAGAGGACAGTCAGAAGGGGAAGGCATAGTACAGTTGACCAAAACCCAGACTCATCTGGTCATGGGCATGGGCATCTGCCATTGCATCCTTCAAGACCTGAGGTATGTATTTATTTCTTGAAGCACAGACATGGTGTACATAGCTTTAAACTATTCTGACTCCATTTTCGCTGTATGAGGCCCCAAGTCCCTAAAGAAGACAATTTAAAGAGATATGTGCTTACAGGTTAGATGTAACTGTGATGATTTTACATGGCACAGTGGGTGTAGCGTTTTCAAAGGTGGCCTGCACACTTCTTGGGCTCTCCACAGAGGTTTAACTTTTATTCTTTCTCCTTTTCATGGTTCCCTTCTCATAAATCACCAGAAGGAAAACACGTTGTTCCACATGAGGTGGGGAAAGCCAGTTGCAACCCTTAAACAAAAAGTAACCCATGATTAAAAAATGTTAATGTAAACTAAACTAGCCTTTTCAAGTGCCCTTCTCCCCAGAGGCATGCCCTGCAAATGCCAGCAAACAGGGCTGGCCTGGAAAAAAAAAAAAGGCAGGAGCAGCACATTTACAGGTAGATGGATCAGTGCAAAACCTCGTACAACCAGGTCTTGCCCAGCAAACATCCATGCCCTCGCTTAACAGCATAGGCAAGTCCAGCCCCTGAAGGAAGTGGGGCAGTTTATAGGCTTAGCCATTTGCAGGAGGAGGGCCTTATTTTGCTGTCCTGCATTCACACCTTGCAGTATAAAGATTGGCACAGGGTTGTGGGCCATGTGTGGCCAAGAGGCTCCCTCAAAGAGGACTAAACTGCACTGGGCACCCAAGAGCCCAGGGCGCCCTTCACCCTGCCAATCCACTGCCACAAAACTGCTCATAACCTATGTGTTAACAGCAGCGGGGCTGTGGGCTCCAACCCGGGCTTGTTCTGCACAGTTCAGCCCCCCCAGTGTCGCACACCTGAATTCTGGGGGAACTTTAATATTCCTTCAGGCCATCAGAGCAGCCAAACAGGCTGTGGAGGTCAGGGATTAGTCCTGGCTTGGCTTCGATACGCTCCTCTTGAGCATTACCTGCATCTCAAATGTGCCATGTCTGCAGTTACGTATCTGATCCAGATTGAAGCTCGTTTGCTTGCACAGCTTTGCAACAGTGAGCTCAGGTCAAGCTCAGTAACTTAATGTTTGCCAAGGTTTTGCATTTTGCACAGAGATCTCTGCTGCTGCCATCACCCACGATGCCAAGTCAGCCCACACGGCCTCCTGCCACCCATGGAGTCACGCGCTCTGAAGCAAAGCCTGGTGATACCACATCTGGGGGGTTACAGACCCCAAAGAGGACACGTCCCAGGGACCCTGACGCAGCCAGCCTGCACGGTTTACAGCGTGTTGCAGGCACATCTCAAACTTCTCATGAAAGGCTAAGGAAAAAGGCACCACCAGAGCCTTGGGGCTTAGAAAGCAGTCTGAGACAGGCCAATCTCTTACTGTTCCAGTGCCCACATGTGGCCAAGCCCTGAATCTTTTCCTCTTTTGCTTTGTTGCATCCAAGTGCAGGGCAAAGTCTTTGCAAAGAAAGCAAGTGTCCTCTGCTGGCTGCAAGGAAAAAACGCATGTGGTGATACCTTAGCTAGGGACAGCACTGGAGCAGGGATGTGTTCTGTGGGGTTGTGACCTGACTTTGTTTTAAGGATGGACAATAAACCAACAGTGAAACGGAGCTACAAGCTGACTGCTTGCAGCATGGACAAAGGAAGGGGGTGAGGGTCTCTGTGCCTTTGGGCTGCGGGTGCAGGGCAGGGTGCAGCCCTTCTCCCTCACAGCCCCGTTGCTGGGGGGGAACCCCAAGTGGGTCCCAGCCCAGGAGGTGCCCGAGATGGTGGAGGCTGGAAGGGGGCGGCTGCACAAGAGGGGCAGGAGATTGGATGTGCCCAAGGCACAGGAGCAGAGGAGCTCTTCACCAGCTCAAAGCACATTTTGGGCAGCGCCTGCAGAAAGGACGTAAGAGCAGGGGCCAGAATCCAGCATGCGTTTGTTCTCTGTGTTTCTGAAATAATCCCTCGGAGATCAACGGGGTTTCACATCTTTCCCCATCTGTTCTTAATCTGTTCACTTGACAGATGCCAAACCACCATACCCTGTATGGAAAAACACAAAACAAAACACAAAGCCTTATATCTCCTCTGGTTTTATTCAGAAAGGTTCCCCGGAGCCTGGCTCTATTCATGCTCCAGGCGTGTGTGGAGGCCCAGGGAGGAACGTGCCCCAGGGACAGATCTGCTGGCAGCAGGGTTTTCACAGCAAGGCCCGGAGAAGGGGTGGCCAGGGCACAGACTGTATCGGATGGAGCAGCTTTGTGTTTATGCAAACCCGATGACTCAGGTTGGTGATTATCTGCCGCAGGCATCCCTCTGCTGCCAAGAAGCCTCTACCGACATCTCTGTCCTGTTGTTCCAGAGAAGGGAACTGCCTTGCTAGAGGTCACAGAGCAGATATGGCCAGAAGGAAAACTAGTACCCTGAACCCCCCAAAGGCTCCAGTCCATTGGTCAGGCAGTGTGTTATCCCAGTGTTATCTCAGAGTCTATCCCGGCCAATTCTGTTGAGGACGTGAGGAACAGCATATTAATGGTACCCATGAATACTTTATTTAAGGCTGAGACTCAGTGACTACAGTTCTGTCATTATCAGTGCCTGGACTGAACTATATCTAATAATAAATAATACAGGGTAACTCCCAACATCTAAAATTATTCTATCCTAAGCTGTTCCCATCCTCATCCTATCGATTAGAAGGTCTTCGTGTTTGCAACAGCTCATACAGTAAATGGACTTTAACTTTGTTCTTTCCAAATACTGAAACCGGCTCTTTTCAGGACACTGTCATGTAATTTACAGCTCTATCACCAACTCCTTAATAGTTGCCAGGTTCTTCAGAGTCCTTTGAAAGTGAACACAATAAAAAGATAAGAGCCGAGACTGACCACAAGTTTCATGTCTGCAGATTCCTACGTGCCTTTTTTAGTCTTTTCAGCCAGCTAATGGAAACCAATTCTGTATCTTCAAGGCGAGATCATGAGGTTTTAGAGTTCCCCTGACTAATAACAACAGAAAATTGAGACAGATCTACAGCAGCCAAGTGCCAGCACATCTCTGCATCTCAACTTTACTATTAGCCTCAGGTAAGAGAGGGGAGAGATTTCCTCTTTGCATATGATTTGCTTAATCAGTCTGAAACACAGTCCTGCCAGTCTGAAAACAGGTTTGAAACAATGACAGTTAAACACCTGTGCAATTTTACCATTACCCCAAGACTGGGGTATTTATATGAGGTTTGGATGAGCAAAAAGGAAGGCTGGGAAAAGATGCAGCAGCTCTGATAGGAGAGGGAAAATGGCACAGTCTTGGGCGGTTAACATCACAGTATGCCCTGCTCTGTTCAAACACTGCTTCACACCAGCCCAAGCCTCTGTTAATTCAATAAATGAAAACATCCTGTGCCTCCCCAGTTTGGCAAAGGTAGGATTTGGGGTGAAGGAGATCACCTTTGCTGACTCTGCATGTTTTGCCAGTATCCCCCAACTCCCTGAAATGTCAAGAGAAAGATCAACAGAGTGAAACATAATCTCAAAGAGAAACACAATATTTTTTATAATGTCCTCACAGCGGCAATCATAATAAAAATACAAACCTGAGGTTTGTAAAAATCTAGCAATAAAACCACAGACATCTTTACAACTCCCAGATATACAGTGCTCCCCGGCAGCAAGAGCAAAAACTCTCCCAGGTGCACCAAGCAAAACTGTAACAAGGGAACAGGCCTAATTGTTTTACAGCCTGCAAAAAAAAAAAAAAAAAAAAAAAAAGGCCACACATGACACCAATTCACAGGTCATTACCAGTCACTGTCAGGGAAGATAAAACAAAATCTCTTCCTCCTTCCTCACCTAGAGTCCATGGAGCAGCTGAGTCGTATGGAGGTGGAATGCTACACTTACAGACAAGTGCATGTTTTAGGTTCTTAAAGCAAGCTCAGATCTTTGTGCTGTTTCCTGGTCATTTAAAGCCTTTTCTTTACAAGCCAGATTATAGGCATCTGTACTTCCCTAACAAACTGTAAGTGTGTTCTGTCCCATGGTAATAGAGATCATCTTTCTTAAAATGGGAGGCAGGCCCTTGGGCAATGTAGCTCAGCTTCCGAGGGTGGTCTGGCAGGTTAGTTATTATTTCCATGCCTTGAGTCTCCCATCAGCCAAATGAATCCTGTATTTCTCCCATTGTTTGGCCAACAAGGTTTAAAGCTCTTCACATGGCCACTGCTTATTAGGAGGAGGCAACGGAGGACTGTGGCAGCAGAGGGCTGGTTGTGTGGAAGGTGATCAGGCTCACCTGAGTATGGAGCAGGATTATAAAGCACAGAGCGCAGCTGGTGGAGGACTTTCTGGACCCGCAGCAATCATTTAGCCTAGTACTTTCTCACCTGCTTGATTTTACTCGTAGGTACACCCAGAATTTTGAATTGCCCACCTGTTTGTCTGTATTGCTGGGGGAGGCAAGCATCAGCTTGCTGAGATGATGGTATTGATTCGGTTATCGACAACTGCAGTGACTTGTCTTTTCCTCTGTCTGCCATGGAAATGAACCCATGTGGTAGCAATGATCGGAAATTACTTTGAGGAAAAAAAAACAAATAAGGTCAGTGTAGGCCAGGCTAAAAATCCAGAGTAAACACAGCCTCAGCCCAGTACTGTCCAACTGTCTAGTCACATTGCAGTAGGTTTCTTGATGCTGATAATTTAACAGTTCTTTGGCCCAAGGGTACATCTTCCACTATGAATCTGCTTCTCCAAAGCCGCTTTATCACTGACCTGAATGGAAGCAATCATGGCTTGTGTGTAAGTGTACGTGATGTGAGCTAATGCATAGTAATAGCTACAGCACATGCTGGTCTGACAAAACAGACAAGGTTCTGTATGTGTGTTTTGGTCCTTGAATATAGAGGTCACAGGCCTTTTTCCTGATGGTAGAACACAGTAGGCAGAGCCTGGGCATACATATATACAGCTTGTATATATAAATATATACTTGTATATATTACTTGTGTACTTAAACTAGATTTTTATTTTAGTAAAAGCCTTAAAAAATACAGAAGAAAATGCAGATGTCACAGGTTGTCTTTTGCACTAGAAAAAAACGTTTGTTCTTCTCCTCTTGTTTCTAGGTTATTCACAACTTGTCCGTTGTCTGTTGTGGACTATTCTCTAAGTTTAGCTACCTAGTTGAAGAGTTTTTTGTAAGCAGTTCTGGGCCTTAATGACACTCTTGCTGGTGGTAATGGGAACCCTTACTCCTCCAGTTCCTGGGAAAGGCCCATTATATAATTGAAAGGTGGGAACTGCTTTTGCCCTTGTTAGGATATGTACAATCACAGAATTCTGGCTAACATCCATCTCATGAATTAATGCTGAAAAATAACGGATTTTCTAAGAGTCTGGTTGGTAAAATAGAGATAAGGGAGCTGACTGAGTAAGGGGCTGATGCCTTCTCCCAGCCAGAAATTCTAGCAATGTTTTACATTTTCAGGGAGTAGGTCAATTCACTTGCACATTTAATGGATGAGATAAAGGCTACTTGCACTAAATTAGCTTTCTGGGCAATGTACGATACCAGGGATGCAAAATCCTTCTGCCTGCCTGCTGCTGTGGGGAGCTGCCTGCATGCTCTTCCAGAGTGTGGCCTGGCAGATCTATTTGCAGATGATGCTCTCTTGTACGAAAGCCAAATGCTGATGCTCCTGAGCATCCTGCTATAAAGCAAATGACCACTAAGGCAATGCAGGCCAATGTGCCGCCTTTGGGAGACAGCTGACCCCGCTCTGCTCAGCACCGTTTCATTAGTGGTAAGCCACGCTGCAGCAGAGTTACAAGAAGGATCTCTGTGTTGTGCCTCCCTCCATGCGTAGAGATGCGTGTGCAGCTCACGGCACCCCACTACCACCTTCTGCTCCTCCAGCCCCATACCTCAGGCCAGATTAGGCTGCTTCTGGATCCTGACCCGCTTTCTCCAGTTCTCCTCAATAGATGTCTGAGCCTCAATTTCAGCACTTGTCATCTGATGTTACTTGTTCTACAGCAGGAGGCTTCCTCTTGCACCAGGAACCCCACTGGCCTAAGTGTTGTGCAAACAAAGGAAAAACAATAACTAAAACCAGTCTCTGCCTTAAGGAGCTGACAGCATCTCCCTTACTTCTCCCAGCTTCTGTAAATAAATCCTTGGTAATGTCACTGTTCTTCAGAGGATGATAAAAGGAACTGTCGTCACTCCCTGACACTGACTGTTCTTGCTATCCACTAAGCTTTCCCCTCCCTCTCCCATGCAGGGAGAAGTTTGTTAAAAATTAGATCTCATCTGATGCCTGCTAATTATCTTAGAAGCTGTTGGTAAGAAGGGACCCAGGGAAGGGACCAAAGACAGCACTCTAGAACAGCCCTGCGGGAGGAACGCTGGTTTCGCCGGTGTCACTGAGCAGAATTAGGCCTTGGGTATTTTAACTGATTCTTCTTCAATAGGATGTCTGATAACAAAGATACTAAATAAGGATTAGTATAGAAATATCTCTATATACACACACACATGTACATTTGGTTCTGATTTTTAAAATCTTTCCTTTTGGAACAGGGAGGGATCACATCACCCTTCAGATTGGTTGAATTTCATCCTGGCTCTCGTTCCCTACCCTGTCCCAAGCTCAGGGAAAGACTCTGCCCTTCCCCTTGTCCTACCCCCAGCGCACTGCTGTCGAGAGCAGAAGACTCTCGTGACAACCTGCGGGCTGCTTGCTTGCTCTGGCACCGTCTCCTCTACAGGGTGAATGTGAAGCTAATCCCAGATTCTCATCTCAGCCACACTGATCTAATTAATAGTAACTCTTTTGGCTTTATAGGGTGGAGGGTGTCTGGATTTAGATCTGCATTACCGGAAACAAACCCTGTCCAGCTGTGAGTGTTGATATTACAGATGCGGCAAAGAGAAACAACATCCATGTGCAGTGACACAGGAGAGGTGATGAACATTTTCTGCTTCCGGCTCTGCAGCCTGCTGCTGTCTCCTGTCCCTGTAATCTGTGCTCTTGAAAAAAGCAAGCAAAAGAAAAGAGAGAGGCACTTTAAAGGCCGAGAGCCAGCAAGAGTGGGAAGATGCACTGCCTCTTATGTCCTGGAAAATCTCTGTCCCTGCTCCTAGTAGAGGCTGGAGGGCAAACCCAAGACTAGGGAAAGCACAGGGTGCGAGGCAGAGCAGCTGAGACAAAACACAGAACAGGATCAGCCTTGCCCTAACCTCTCCCTAATATCTTCCTGCACTCATCTCCCACTAACTAATTAGCATGGGCTTTTTAAAGTACGCATGGCCTCTCCACCAAGTACACACCAATTTCCACTCATCCTCTTACCTGGTCCCTCTCTCTGTCCCCAGACAGCACGGTAAGGAGGAGAAGAGCCCAGAGCTGGTGCTGGCAGGCAGGTGCTGCTCCTGCCGCTGTCGGTGCGACTGGGAGCTCTCCATCCTCCACGGGCGTTACGCTGTCTGCCCAGGCTTTGCAGCCGCTTGATTTATTTCTATATATAAACTTTGGAGAGATGCTTTGTGCAAGCAACGTGGCACATTTCCAACACAGCCAGGCCAGCCCGCGAAGGGCACATGGGGCTATGTGGCAGGGGATCAGAGCAATTCTTCAGCTGGTGCAGAGAAGACTGGCCAACCTGCAACTCTCTGCTTAGCAACAAGGTCCTGGCAATCCGTGCCGATGATTGCATCCCGTCAAATCTGAGCAAATCCACCTGTGCAAGGAGTTCCCTGCTCTGCAGAGCTTGACCATATGGCTGAAGAATAAGACATGAAGGGACAGAGGTCTTTGAACTGAAGTCCAGGACTCAGAGGTCCTCAGATCTGGAGTCTGCTTGCTGGCTTTTCTTCCTGATCCGGTCAAATCATGGGAATCAAGAAATCTGGATTTTATCTCAGTTCCTCCATGGATTTTCTGTCTGACCCTGGGGTGGTTGCTTAGAGGCAGTCTTTGAAAGGATGCCTGCAATTTTCACAGAAAGCTGTAACTGCAGGAAGCACTGATAATTACACTAGAGGTACAACCCACAGGCAACATAGGACCTTCAGGACTGCCACA